TATTTTTTTATTTAGCATAAGTTTTGGATTTAAACCCTATTTATTTCTCCATCTATATGGTTCATTTGAAATAAAAATAAAAATTTTGTTTGTTTTGTAACAAAATCAAAAAATATTTAGATGAATTATCTAGATGATTTTTCAAGATTTAGATAAATTTATGAGAATTATCTGAATGAACCAAATTGTATCATCTTGATGGAGATGTTTCAGTTCAAAATGACAAATGAGTAAAATACTTTTAAATTTAAAAATAAAAAAAAAACCTAAAATCATATTTTTTGAAAAAACCACAAATTATGCTTTTCTAACGAAACCTGAAAAAATTGTATTTTTTTTTCTACACCGGTAAAATCATATTTTCTGGTAAAATCGAGAAATCGCATTTTTCAACCAAAACTTAAAAAACACATTTTACTATTATAAGTTTACTTATAATCATAAATTTTTCTACTCGCAAGTTATATTCATATTTTTAATTATGAAACTTTTAATGCATGTTTTTCTTACACTAACTAAAATAATTATTTTAACATTAAATTTCTTTAGCATTAAAAAAATATTTAGTAAAAAACCACAAATGAAACAACAATTCACATTAGCTTACATATTTACTATAGCTTAAGTTTATATATTGACCAGATCGCTACCTTGAGCTCTAGAAATTAAAAAAGCTACAAAATATATCGAAAGAAACCAAATAACCATGTCAAATGTTTGAAGCTCGTATTAATTGACCTCAGATCTTATAAATTTATTTTTCTTCAGTTCTTCTTCTCTCACATATGCTAGAAACAAGTCTAGCAACTACCAAAATGGCTTCACAATTTCGCAATTCCTCCCATTCTCCAAATCATATCAGTGTTTCTTTCATCTATTGAATCATAGTCACTGGTCGAGATTTAGGCGGTTGACAACTTTTTCGATCAGATCTCTGATACCTTTAAACATAATATATTTGCTTTCAAAAACTTAATACACTTTCAAATATTTATTCATAAGTATACAATAACTTGATTAAAAAATATTCATTCTTTTGATAATTAATTAAAATTTGGTGCACTCTCTCTTTGTCAAAGTATACAAAATTATTTAATTTCAATATATAGAAAACATAATTTTCTGGAATTTTTACTTTTTCTCATATCTTTGCTATAAACATGTAAACATTTATATTATCAAACATAAACATTAGCCACACTTATATGTATATCTCAAACCTTCAAACTTCACACTATATTTAGATATAGTTTTATTAGTAAGCCATATGATAGATATGATACAAGAGTAACACCCAAATACAAAGACCCAAAACATTAAAGTAATAAACGCAAGCCTAAATACAACTTAAACTATATTTGGTGTTAATGTAATTGGATATCTCATCCGTCTTTAGCATCAGGGACAAAGCTTTACCAATTCAAAGCTTCAACTTTCAGAAAATTCATCATTACAATGCGATTGTAGATCTTTTTCAAACTCTTTCGAGAATCACCATATCTCCTGAATAGATCCATGGTTAAAAAATAATTTTCCCCCCACAAAGTTGTCACAAAGTTAAAATCTTAGAAGTGAAATCGTGAGTTTGATGAGATAACAATATTAATTGATTCATTTCATTAGAATTTTAGGTTTGTTTGCCAATAAACGTTATCAATTAGTTAGGTTAATTAGATAATTTCTAGAATAATTGAAGAAGATGGACGAAGAAGATGATGATAGGGAAAAGAAGAAAGAAGATGTCGATAATATACAATGAGCTTCAGTTTGTTCTTTTTAAAAAAAAATTAAAAATTATAAAACAACATGTAGTACATTATTAAAAATGGTATGTTTTAATTTTTGTCATCGCTATAATGAGGGTTAATTTTGCAGTTATCCTAAAATAATAATATTGTGCTTCAATTTCTATGTATTGTCCATATTGGATCTTACTAATGAAAAATTTTGATGATAAAAAGAAAAAAATTTGCCTATGTGTTAAAATATTGAGATGAAGTGTATTAATGAAATGTTTTAATTGGTTCAGTATTTTGCTGATGTGTCAGCTTTTAATAACACAAAAAAACTGAGTTGTCAACACATGGAGAAACTTATGGGTTATTGTTGTATTGATTAGACTTTTATCAAAATTAAAGAAAACAGAATATCTTATTTATTTTAGATGGGACTTTTAATTCAAAAAACTAATCAAATGAAATATTCATTTAAATTTCTTAACTTTTCATAGTATCGACTACGACTAGTTGTCTCATGCATTTTCTTAAGCCTTATCTATTAATCTACGAATATATCTAACTCTCGTTTCGTTATTGAGTTCGTTTACGTCAAACGAGAATGATTATATAAACGCATACAATTGCAACTTGCATCAAGTGGTCACTTGGTGGAGACCCATATGGCCATATATTGCGATTTATATGTCAAGATTGCAAAATATGACTCTGTGTGGATATGCATATACTTACGTATAACCTTATACATTTATGGACAATACAAGAAACGTCCACCAGGGACGACTGTGACATTAACTTACATGTACTATAACATCCACACACAAAATGTCATAGATTTGGTTGATAAATCGATTGATAACTAAAATACTTAAACATTTACATTAATATATTATAGTTTTTCTAGGGATATAGTTCTAAATCACGTGTATTATTAAAATATGTAATAAAGAGTTGGATGAATAATGATCGAAAAAGGTTCAAAATAATAATAATAATGATCGACATTTACAAATTTTGGATATCTTTACTAATTTAGATCATGTCAAATATTGTCTCGTGTGGGATAGTTTTTCAGGATTTCAAGACGTGTATGGAGTTGGTCAAACTATCAAAGTCCCTGGCCTGATGAATGACATATATTTCGAACATTTAGGATGAGTTTGCTTTAGTTCTAGATTGTAGATTTATGATTTTTTTTTCCTTCTTTTCATATCCTCTCTTGAATTTCCACAATAGAAATAAAAAGTGTGTTTTTGGAACTATAACTCATTTGGTCATTTTTAATATTAAGAAATTTGTACCTTTTGATAAATAAACCTCAAAAAAAAATTATGTTGAGCCATCTGTCTATAATTTCTTTAAAATCTTTGTAAATTTTTGAAGTATTTTTATAAGTTTCTACATGCTTTTATAAGTATTATATAATGCATCAATGTTGAAACGGATGGTTAATTAGAATTTAGAATAATGCTTTTTACCAACTGACATAAACGAATAATGATATTTTTCAAGTATATATTATAATTTGACTGAAGGTTAAGAACTTACGATGTTAGTAGATATACAAGTAAGATATTGCTTTCATTTACCTTTTCTGCGTGAATAAGAATTAAGAAATCTCCCAAAAGTTATGCGATTGAAAGTCTACCTAACATCTTTTCTAGTCAAACACATAACATTTGCTATAAGTTTATAACCTTCATGTAAAATGAACATTTTGTTTTAAGTACTAACATTATTTTGAGTCCTTGGCTATTTCATTTAACCAAAAACTTTTACAATGGAGAAAAACTATTAGGTAATGGTAATCATAATATAATTCGAATTAGATCGAATGAATACAGTAGAACCTCTATAAATTAATACTCGATAAATTAATAATCACTATAAATTAATAATTTTTGTTAGTTTCTAGTTGGACCAGTGTAAAAATTGACAAAATTCGATAAGATAATAAGATAATATTTTTTTTTGAAAGTTCTATGTAAAAATATGGTCCCAATAGTAATATAAATTAATAATTATACATTACATTTATGCATATATTAATAATATAATATAGTAAACTATGATAATATTGTTGTTTCAAGTTTATAAAATTTGTTTGATTTATTTTCTAAATTCATTATTATGACATTTTTTGAATGAATTTTACATTGTTGAAAATATTGATTTTATTTTTTTTGATAAATATTAAAAATTCAAACTTAAAATATCTCTATAAATTAATATTTTTCGATAAATTCATAATTATTAATTTATAAAATAATTAATAATTCTATAAATTAATAAAAATTAAGAATCCCAACATTATTAACTTATAGAAGTTTTACTGTATATGTTAAAAATTGATTTTGTCGTCTATAGTTTACATATATAGATTATCGAATTCAAATTCAAATTCTGATAATGGTGGCGATACTAAATAAATGGTATATTCATGTACTAATTTGTTTAATATGTTGAAAAATTCATGTGCTAATTTTAAATAGTACTCTAAACTACTAACAAATTAAGTATCTAAAAAATAGAAAATGTCTTGGTTTCACCAATAACTAATTAGTATGAAAATACTGTCTTTTTTCCTTTTAAAACTATTATTATTACTAATTAGGTTTGCAAATACTCCTAGGTGCAATTAGTGCATATTTATATATATATATATGAAAATAGTGTGGTACCAGCACCAGACATGACGCTGACAGAAAATACAACAGTACTCTCAGTTAACTCCAACAAATAACTTAATTTGAAATCTCCAATACATGACTGAAAAAATTATAAAACCAGGAAAACCATCAAATACCAATTCATTTCCCAACGAAATATCAGTTCGAATTGATAGCACTGCATAATTTCGAAAGTGTAAAAAAACTAAAAATTAAAATGACATTTTTGTTTTATACAGAATTTTTAAATACGATTTTCTAATAAAACGATTGATGATGGTAACGCAAAAAAAAAATTCTCAATACCAACATAACTGCGAAACTATTTGATTATTAAAGAGAGTTTACCTATCCTAATCAAATAAATTAATTTTGAATAAATCATGCAATCAATCCTTTGGGGAACAAGTGAGATCCGTCATTTAATAAGCCTCGATTCCTCTTCCTCTCTTTGCTCTCACTAGAAGACAAAACCATCACGAGACCCTTCTTCAATCTATCCTTCAATGGAGTTTCTCTCTCTCTCTTCTTCTCCTCAGATCTCTCTTAATTCACACACACTTCACACTCTCTGAGATTCCCCCACCTTCAAGCCATGTCTTATCTTCTTCGCTCCGATCCCGTTTCTCGGATTCACCCGGATCCTCGATCCCTAGACGACATCGATCACTTCGACCTTCTTCCCGACTCGCTTCTCCTCCTCATCTTCGATAAAGTCGCCGACGTCAAGGATCTCGGCCGTTGCTCCATCGTCTCCCGTCGATTCCACTCCCTAGTCCCTTTCGTTGAGAACGTCCTCGTCCGCGTTGATTGTGTCATCTCAGATGATGATTCCTCCGCCGACGATCGTCGTTTCTCTCTCAACGCCGCGTCGATTTCGGATGCCGCCGCTGGTGGCTCCTTCTCCGCGCTGTTCCGTCTCGTGTTCGCCCCGATTTTCAAGCCGTTTCAAGCGCTGGGGCAGTTTCTAGTGCCGAGGCGATCGTCGTCACCGTTCGACGCGTCGTTCTCAGCGCTCGGAGATGAAATCGGAAGCGAGATCGAGCAGGGAGGTGTGACGCACCACTCGCCGACGCAGGTGTTGAAAAACTTCGCCGAGATTCGGTTTCTGAGAATCGAACTGCCGACGGGGGAATTGGGAATCGAGGACGGTATCTTACTGAAATGGAGAGCGGATTTCGGATCTACGCTCGACAATTGCATGATCCTCGGCGCGTCTTCGGTGACTCGGTCGAATTCGAATCCCGTCAAGAATCTCGAGAACACCCTCGATTCCTCCGGCATTGACGACAATGGTAACATACCTGAGTCGTTCTACACCAATGGAGGACTTAAGCTCCGAGTAGTTTGGACGATTAGCTCTTTAATCGCCGCCTCGGCTCGGCATTACCTTCTCCAGCCGATCATCACGGAGCACAAGACCTTAGATCGTCTGGTTCTCTCCGACGCCGACGGACAAGGCGTCCTGTCTATGAACAGAGAGCAGCTCGAAGAGCTCAGAGTGACTCCCTTATCGGCTTCTTCCGCTTCGAAGCGGACGCTCGTGCCGGCACTGAACATGAGGCTTTGGTACGCGCCGCAACTGGATTTACCAGATGGCACGGTTCTGAAAGGCGCGACATTGGTGGCTATTAGGCCGAGCGAGTCGAAGAAGGAAGTGTGTGATGCTTCTTGGTTGGCTGATGCATTCGAGGAGCCGTTTGGGACTGCGGCGAAGATGTTGATCAAGAGGAGGACTTACTGTCTCGAGATGAACTCCTTCTGATTTCGCATTACAGACAGTTTCAGGTAGAACCAATCCTCTGGTTTTGTATACTGCTCTGTTTTACTCGTTAGAGCTAGCTTCCTTTTGAGGCATTAGTAATGATGCTAGAAGAAAATGAACAGAGTAAGAACCTTATCTATGGAGTCGTATAATATTCTTGCCTTGTCCATGCTCATGTTCTCTCCAGATTGTTTTAGTTTTGGGTAATGATGTTTCTTGAGCTGAGGTTCCATGTTCTTGTGGAGAGAATCGATTACATTCAAGATGTTATCTTAGCATCGAATGAAACTTGAATTTCTTTTCATACATAGCAGCAAATCTTATGTCTGGTAAGACTATATGGTACATGTGGAAGGTGCTAATTACATTGACATTTTCCAGATGGTGGGAAGCAAGCAAATCCATGTAAATTGGAGGATGAAGGAAGAAGGAAAAGAGAAGAAACAGAGAGATCACTAAATGTCCTTACGCGAAAAACTGCAGCAACACTCTGGCTTTTTGACACATACGGCTTCACACATCATGCAAGGCGAGTTTCCAAGCGAATCTGCAGGGGAGATGCAGGACTGAGAGAGTTTCTCTGATACCGAAGGAACGCAATTGTACATACACTCTTGTAAAAAGAACTTGAAGTCTGCGAATGAGCAAGAACATGTTTTGTGGTCTGTGTTTTAAAGAGACATGTGAGGATGGGAATCGCCGTTACACGGAATGATTTATGTTACATAAAAGAGTTTGTAATAAAAATATTTTTCAGCTTTTATTCGGCACTTTGATGGTCTGTTTATGAAAACTTATTCTGAAGGCATTGGATCTTCCTCACCCTCTCCTCTTTAATTTGATCTCTTGTTTAACTTATGGTTTACATCATGACCATTGAATATTAATACTGATCCTTGAATTTTTTTATTTATTTATCAAACCTCACTAACTATATATCAATCATTTTGCAATTTCGAACTAAGAACATCTTTATTCATTAGATATTTACAAAAGTTCTCAAATAAATTAATCAATCGTTCGTTTATTATAATTATATTTTATAATTAACCAATAATTTGGAGATTTCATGGATACTCTAAAAAAAATTATCTGAGAACTCTTCTTCCTTTCTCTTTTTTTTTTTTCATTATTTTTCTTTATTTATTTATTAGATACCTTTATAAAAATTCTTGCTCTAAAATATTACTTCTTACTTTATAGTTAACTTAAATAAGATAATTTGAGAATCTTGAACCTTCGTCTGAGTTTCAGCCGAAGTTTATGAAAATACATGAAACACATAAAAAAGACATATATTTGATATAAGAAAAACAAACATTCGGTTAGATACACATTATCTAATCAAACAACAACAATTCATTGCTGTCTAAAGAGACTCAGTTTTACAATCAGGGTGAAGGATACAACCATAAAGTTGGGACGGTGCATCCTTCGTCTTCCACCCAATGTCTTATATATCTTAATTTTAGGAAACATTTTATACATCAGCCATATATTTTGATAAAAGTATGAGCCTCTACCTAGTTGGTAGAAGAAAATATGAGCCTAAGGTGGTAAAAACCATCATTAAGAAACTAAACAGTTCAAAATGTGTAACTAATGTACAAGCATTAGAGTGTAATCATTCTCTTCACACAGATTAGTCTATAGAATTTTTATTTCTAATTTATTTCTTTTTTTTAATTATCACGATGAGCTCACATCATTTCCTGTTACTCTAGACCTCCAACCCATGGATAGATAAATACTGATTTCTTTGTTGGATTTACAGATATATCGAGTTTTACGATGTGGAGTCAGTTCAAATGGCCATAGACCTGTATAAAAAGCTGTTTCTTCAACAACCACTGATTGTGGTGAAGGCTGATATAATGTTGGCTCAATGTAACATCACTAGAGACAGTGTAGATAGTACTCGCCCTATAGATAGGAAGTTGTATGTGAAGAACCTTTATTCCGACATGATAGAGTTGGAGCTTAGAAATGTATTGTTAGATTTAGACATTCATTCTTCTTAATATTTCTCTAGATTTATGTCTTTCTTGATAGGTTGTATTAGCAAGTATTTGTGTACCCTTTTCCAGATTTTTAGGCCTTTTGGTCTGGTTGAGCTACCGCTTGACCTTGAAACTAGGAAATGCAAAGGTTTTGGATTCATCTAGGTCAGTAGCACACGTTTTGAATTAGCTGGTGTTCTTCGTGATTCCTCACTTATATTAATTTTCTTTCAGTAGTTTGCGCAACTTGAACACTCAAAGGCAGCTAAGGCAGCTGCCAAAGATGGAAAATTGCTGCCAATCGAGGTGAGTTTTAACTCCTTGTGGACAAACCATGACTCCTTGGAATGTATATGATGATGTGTTGACTTCAATTATTAATATAGAAACAGAATTATACGATGATGATGCTAATATTTCCATGTTAGTTAAGGTTACAAATTTAATTCAGAATTAAACTATAAGAAAATACTAAAATGACTCAAAGATAATAATGTACTGTGTGATGTAATGTGAAAGAGATCTAAAATGTGACTATGTGAGTGATGATGGCTTTATGAAGTAAATGGGAGAGATCATGGGACAACAATGAAGAGATGGGTTAGATTCAGACACAAAGCATGTGGTGCCATTTGGAGGCTCAAGTTTAAAACTTGCATTTTGCCAGGCTCAAACACTCTCTATTTCATAAAAATTTTTTGTCTAAAATAAAATATTATCTATAAAAGGACAAAAGTTTTTTTGATTCTTTCACACCAAAGTCTTTATAAAAATTTTGATTCTTTCATGCCAGTATTAAAAATGTCAACTAACTACTTTTTTTATCTAAATACTTTATCAATTCACAACATTTTTTCCCATATGAAATAATTTTCTGTAAAAAGCTCCTAAACCCAGAACTTGAATACTATATATTTTAATTAATCCAAACAATCTGAATTTTAGTGAGCATGATTTTAGAAAGTATACTTTGCAGTTTGCACGTTAATTGGAAACATATGGAGTCAAAAGGTAAGGTGGAGTATATATGATAAAAGTTAAACAAATACATCAAAAATTAAACAAAATCAGAAAAATCGGATTTCATTTTAGTATTTTACTAATTGGTGGTGAAGTAAAGAAATACAAGTGGAACAAAGTGATGCCGAGGAAGAAGGGAACCCAACATAGAACACATGAGGAGACAAACAGATGATGAAGCCCTATTTTCAAATTCATCCACATGCCAGTAAATTACATAATCTAAAGTCATTACTTCGAGACACACAAAATGTAATGAAACTATGAAACCCACAAAAACAAAATAAAGATAAGACTCAATGCCCACCCACGCCCCAATAAATCATCTTTCTTTTACGAAATCAAGAAACCAAATTTTTTGACAAAGCAAACAACATGGTACTATTACTAATTTAACTAATCCATAGACATTATATCAACTTTTTTATTAAAAAAACATTAGTTACTCATGTTCTAAAAGAAATGATATTGTAAATAGATAAAAATACTAAGCAACATGGGAACTTTTGAAGCTTTTCTTGTCTATCTCCGATCCTTTCCTTTATCATCGGAGCTCCGGTTTCCTTCGCCATAATAGAGATATAACCGGCCGTCAAAAGCCGCCGGAAGCTGGTGGCTATGATGGTCAAGAGGTGGAGGTGTAGCCATGAAAAAGGAAATGCTTTGACTGTCCATTGGAGAAGACGAAGAAGACGACGAAGAAATCGACCTTTGATTAATGTTGTTGTTGTTGTTGAGAAAGCTTAGAGATTGTGAATTGGACTGAAGGGTCCCCCTACTACTGTAACAACCTCCATTAATGGCGGCTGCTCCGGGAGAATCAGAAGAAGAGATTCCAAAGTTGTAATCCGGTACAAAGGAGAACTGATTTTGATGATTCAGCGACGTCTCTTGGCGATGATTGCTGTTGTTGAACTGAGGGAGAGAGGAGGAGGAGTTCGGTATAAGCTGAACCGGGTTGAAACAATCAGAACCACCGGTCCAATTTCGGTTCGGTTCGTCGAAACCACCGGTGAGAAGCTGAGTGAAAGAGCTCTGTGCATTCTGCAAATCTTTGTCTTTCTCTTTAGCTGTTCGCTCTCGAGCTCTCTCTCGAGCTTTCCCACGAATCTCTGTCCTCGACAAAGACAACAACGAGCTCTCGGATGTTCCACTACTACAAGCGGATTTGGACAGTGACAGTGTCTGGTCGAAATTTGTGTTGATTGAAGGTAATTCGGAGATTGAATCGGAAGCTGCGTTGATTAGCCATTCCACGGCTTTGCTTGGCTGATCGAATCCGAGACGGTCTTGGAGATCGTAGAACTGGATCGCTGTTGCGACCGAGAGACGGATTCTCCGGTCTCTTAGCCCTTTTGAGGTCAAGACTTTACTGTGTCTGTCTTTGCCACCGGAAGCTCGAGAAACCCTAATGATTCGGGACGACGGATTGTTCCAGTTCCTCATTCCGGTCATGTCGTCGGAGGAGATTCTCTGTAGCTTTCTGCTAGTTTGTTGTTCTTGTGTCTCAATATCGTCGTCGACCTCCATTGAAACACTACTCTCATGCTTTATAGGTTTCACTCAAAGATCGGGAAATCCACCGGAGAATAAGATAGTCGCCGGCGAGACAGTGTGAGCAGGTAAATCCAGCTAAGCCCTAATTAAGCATTCACCTATCTCTTTCTTTCTCTCTCTCTCTCTCTCACTGTCTTTTGTTTCTGAATCGAAACAGTAGCAGAGCTATGATAGAGCAAAAGCCTGAGTATGTTGCAGTGTTTGAATCTGTAAAAAGGAAGAGGAAGACGAAATTAAAGTCAGTACTGAAAGGCTGAAATTATATTTAAAAAAAAAGAAAATTTCTGAAAATTCAAAATAAATAGCAATATGTAGATCTGCAAAGCCTATCTGTAAATATCCATGTTCATAGTATATAGCCTCATAGCTCAAGAGCCTTTTCAGAAACCCTAAATTAATACGAGTATTTTAAATGAAAAACCTATAGGTAGGGATTTGTAGATATTATGAGCTTTGGTCAGAAGGTTTAGCAGAATAAGAACTAACCCAGAAGAAAAAGAACAGATTTTTAGCTGAAGAAGATGAAGAAGAACAAGACTAATGATTTTAGTTCATAAAGCTAGAAGCTTGCCCTAAAAATGGAAGTTGCAAAACAATCACATAAATTAGCAATAATACATTAAATAAAGCATAGATTTAGTTTTTTTTAAAAAGTACCAGTAAATCCCAAAAATTAAGAGAAAAAGGGTTTTGCCTCAAAAATCACCAACAAAAGAAACTCACTTGGATAACAGGTGTCAACTGTCCAAGCTCACTGTAGAGCAACAATGGCGGCGAAGAAGATATAAATGGAAAAAAAACAATTGAATTTTCTCAGATTCTTTTCACGAGCTTCTTCCCTCTCCCTTTGGTGTTCTTCTCATGCTTAGATCTCATCGCTGTAAGCGTAGAGTGTTAAGAGATCCACAGATCTGAAATAATCAAATCAAAAAGGTCATGTAATATATAACATCAAATATTCGTTTCAGGTAAGTGTTTAGGATGTTTTTTTCTTTCGTTTTTCCAGAATAATCATCCGAGAAAGTGAAAGAGAAATGGCGAAAAATGGGAATTGGAGGGAGACTCTAGAGAGAGAAAGTATAATTACCTGTTAGAGAAAAATATCCACAGTATCCTTCGGACAAGGGAAGACAAGTGCACCGTTCGGACTATTTAGTACTTTCCTCGTGCTGTTCACTCTCTCTCTCTCTTTTACCCTTCTTTCTTTTTCGTTTTTACACATTTTGCCATTCATTGTATACCAACTTTTACATACGATTGGAATATCAAGTTGTCCACTATTAATAATCTTAATCGAATTATGAAGCATGTAAAAATGTATATTTTGAAAGATGTTATAGAATTGTGCTAAGACAATAGCTAAGAATAAGCACATAGGTATATTCTCTTTGTTTAGCTGTAGTTGGAAGAAAACAAGAATAAAGAAAGTGCATATAATTTATTAAGCCTAGCAAATAAATATGTTCTTAAGAAAATACTTAAAGGGTAATTACATTATAGTTAAAACGGAAATGTCCAAACATATAAAAGCTAATAAACAAACTTTTAGTCGCTCGAACTCATTTGAAAGTGTTGAAAAACACTGGCCACTATGTGGAGGTTAACGTCATCTTTACCAGCTCCAGAACAATATATATGAAAAGCTACCGACAATTCATTATCCTCATAGCACCACAGTAACGCTTCTAGTTCTAGATGCAAGGGAGAGAGCTTTCATCTTCGAGGCTGCATTTGCATAAAGGATTGTTACCTTTTTAAGAACCATCAGATTCAAACTTGCATCATGTTTCATGCTGATTTAATATCGATCGGTGCTGAAGAAAAGCCTTCTCGAGGTGAGAAAGTAAACTTGTGAGTTTTAGAAAAAGGCAGAAGCTGCACTTGTTACATGAAATAGGGGTTTTTGGTCTAATTCTTGAAAAAAAAAGAAAAATTGTCTATCCAAATGAACAAAAAGAATCCACGAAAATGCATGTTTTTTTTGTTTTTTCTCACCCGAATCTAATCTAACATGTAACTTGACTTAGCCATAGATCTTTCTGGCTTTATAAAGTGTTGGATAAGCTTCAACATTATCTTAAGTCTAAGATGTCAAATCTAATATGGTTAGGATAAGATAGACTTAACGGAACTCTATTGTAATTAAGAGTTAGTTAATTTAATAGAGAATAGGATTGGCAATGTGTGTCAAGACTATAAATACCAATGTCGAGCTGTGACATTGATATTGAGAACGAAGGTGTTTAGTTTTTGAGTTATACTTTCTAAACATCAATAAAAGAGAGATATTCTTTTATACATAGTGTGCTCTGTTCTTGGGTACTCTGTTCTTAGATCTTTTATTTGGTATCAGAGCTATAGGACAAGATCCATTGACACGAGCTTGATCAAGAGACTGCAGGCAACCGAGGGAGAAGACAGAACCGGGACATGGGTGATGTCAATCCTCATGCCCTCCCAAAGGATGTAATTCCTTCTTCCATTCAATGTCCCATGTTAACCGCAACTAACTATACGGTTTGGGCCATGAGAATGAAAGTCCTCCTGCGAATTCACAAAGTTTGGAAGACTATTGAACCTGGTTCTCTATCTCTCGAGAAGAATGATATCGCAATAGGCTTATTGTTTCAGTCAATCCTGGAGGCCTTAATCTTACAAGTCGGTGAGCAAGAATCTCCTAAGGGAATTTGGGAAGCAATAAAATCAAGAAATCTCGGAGCTGATCGTGTTAAGGATGCGAGACTTCAAACTCTCATGTCAGAATTTGAGAGATTGCGAATGAAGGACACTGAGACAATCGATGGCTTCTCTCGGAAGTTATCATAAATTGCTTCAAAGTCCGCTGCTCTTAGGCAAACTATAGAAGAACCAAAACTTGTAAAAAAGTTTCTCAATAGTTTGCCAAGAAGTAAATATATTCACCTCATCGCTTCACTTGAGCAAGTTCTGGATTTAAACAAAACCAGCTTTGAAGATATCGTCGGAAGACTCAAAGCGTTTGAAGAAAGGGTTTCCGATGAGGAGAATCATACGGAAACACAAGAGAAGGTTTTGTACGCAAAATCAGAAGAACGAAACTCATCTCGAAGCAGAGGATGGGGCAAAGGAGGAAAAGGACGAGGAAAAGGTCAATCTTCACAAGAAAGTACAAATCAGAATCGATCAAAAGACAAGAAAGATAGATCGAAAGTGATCTGCTACAGGTGTGATAGACCCGGCCACTTTGCCTCTAAGTGTCCCACAAGAATACAGAAAGATCAAGAAGCAAATAAGGTCGAAACAGAGGAAGCTGATGCGGCTCTTTATATGCATGAGATCGTATTCTTAAACGAAGGAAAGGTACTTCCAAAGAACTTCGAGACAGCTGCGGAAGAAGAAGGGTTATGGTATCTCGACAACAGGGCGAGTAATCATATGATCGGACACAAGGAGTATTTCTCGGAGCTCAACGAAAGTATTAAGGGAAAAGTAAAGTTTGGCGATGGTTCATGTGTCGAGATAGGAGGAAAAGGATCAATACTTTTTCAAAGCAAATCCGATGAACAGAAGCTTGTAACAGATATATATTATATCCACGAGCTCAAAAGCAATATATTGAGCTTAGGACAAGCAACTGAAGTGGGCTGCGATGTACGGATGAGACAAGATAATCTTACCGTCCATGACCCGAGAGGAAGATTATTGGTAAAAGTAAACCGATCACCTAATAGACTATACAAAATCAAGCTGAAGATAGGCAAACCGATTTGTTTAAGAACGAGCATAGAAGACGACACATGGAAGTGGCATGCAAGGTTGGGACATATAAACTTCAAGACACTGAAGACGATGTCTCAACAAGAAGTAATACATGGGATGCCTAAGATCAGAGAAGAGAATAAACTGTGCGAGTCTTGCTTAGTCGGAAAGCAAACACGACAGTCGTTTCTGAAAGCAACCATGTTTCAAGCCAAGAAGCCATTAGAACTTCTACACGCAGACCTTTGCGGACCCATCTCACCAGCGACTGCAGCTAATAACAGATACATATTTGTTATTATAGACGACTACTCGAGATATATATGGACTATACTGATGAAAGAGAAGAGTGAAACGTTTCAGAAGTTCAAATTGTTTCGAAGTTTAATTGAGAAGGAGCTGGGAATGACGATTTTAACTCTAAGAACTGATAGAGGCGGGGAGTTTACGTCAACAGAGTTCCGAGACTACTGCAACGAAAACGGCATAAAAAGACATCTAACTGCGCCTTACACACCGCAGCAAAACGGGGTGGTGGAGAGGAGAAATCAGACTCTAATGGTGATGACGAGGAGTATTCTCAAAGCAATGATGGTACCTAATTACTTATGAGGGGAGGCAGTTCGCCACTCGACCTATTTGATTAATCGGGTACCAACGAAGGCCCTTGACAATATTACTCCTTACGAAAGCCTGAAAGAGAAGAAACCGAGACTTGATCACTTGAGAGTTTTCGGATGTCTTGCCTACACAAAGATCGATTCTCATCATCTTAGAAAACTAGATGATAGATCGAAGCCACTGGTAAACCTTGGGATCGAACCTGGATCCAAGGTATACAGGTTATACAATCCGACAACTCATAAGGTAGTAGTAGGTCGTGACGTCTTGTTTGATGAAAGCTCAAATTGGAACTGGAATGAGAAAGCAAACGGATCGTATCTAGATCCCGGAATGTTTCAGTTGCGATGGGAAGAAATGTTGGATGCCGGAGAAGGACACGCAGTAGTCGGCAATGATTTGCCTAACGAAAACAACGAAGTCAGTGATGACGAGCATCACGAATACGACAATCAGGGAGCAGAGGATAACAACAACGGTGGTGAAGCAGAACAACAAGCTGTGCAACAGCCTCAACAACCTTTGAGAAGGTCAAACCGTGATACTTCTCTACCTAGTTACCTCGGTGATTACGTCCTGTATCTGTGTGAAAAGGTACTTCTCTCAATAAATGA